AAACTTTTCCCAACTATATATGATTTAAGCTCTAATGTACTCATTATTATTGATAGTTTATTATTTCAATAAAATTAATCATGATAATGAATTATCTTTTGTTTGGTAGTATACTCATAATATTATTTGAGAAAAATTTATAGGTAACATTGTAAAAAAAGTTATTTTTACTTTATTTAAAATAATTTGTTGAAATCATGTGTTTTTAGTAACTGATAATTAAAATAATTAAAAGTACCTGCAAATCATAAAAAGGTAAAATAGTTAGACAATATTATATACAAAACAAGGTATGTACCAAAAAACTAAAAAAAGTTAAATGGTCCATTCCTAGCAGAATAACTTCATTCCAAACTGGCCACATACAAATGTCATTACAGTAAATAACCAGGATTTGTTGTGTAATAAAACCGTACACAAGATCCCTAATTGAGGAATAAAAGAAGGGTATAGTTTACATAAGGTTGCAACCGTAAATAATCAAAGTAAGATGCACCTCTAAATTTATTATAAGATGTAATTTTGGTCTAAAGAATTCTTAGGATGACTTGAGAATCAATTTTTATCTCTGATATAAAATTTTAAACTCCAAAAATAGTTCAAATCAATTAGAGCTATAGACACGTGAAAATCATGAAAATAGACGGTCCAAATATTGTATTACAAGATACACTATTTTTGACACTTGAATATATATTTTTTTCATTTTATATAACTCGATGTCAAGATGATCAATTAGAGGGTTTTCCAACAGCAAAACAACCTTTTCTGATGATTTTTGAGGCAACGTTAATTCTATGTTTTAAAGTTGCGACCTTATATAAACTTTTTCCATAAAAAAATAATGAAAAAATGCAGTACAACCCCTCGTGTACCTCATCTTGTATGCCCAACGGCCCATACTAGATGTATTGTATATTTTCTAAGTGAAATTTGGAATGTCTCTACATCAAAACATGGCGAAACAAATAAAAATAAGAAATAATTTGGAAAAAAATTGGCTGAAATGCCCCCAAAATATATTTTTTACTACGGGCGTCCCCATTTTGATGTAGAAACACTCCAAATTTCTTGTCAACATCATTCCTAAGAAATAAATAAAAATGTAAAGAAATGATTTGTGGCTATCTGTCTGACAAAGATTAAATCTAGGCCATGGGTGATGAATTGTTTTATTAGCCTGTGGGTATACATCAGTGAAATACAAAGTGTAAGTCTCCCCTCATGGGTTGGTGTATCAGCTACCATCATTTCTCTTTTTTGTATTTTCGACAGTTTGAAAGTTAAGATTTAGAACTGGAGGTAAAATATGATTAAAAGAACTTGACAAACAAGAACTCAAAATGTAGCCCGCTCATAATACATTACATCTTGTAATGTGCCCCACTCAATAATACTACATCTCTTCAATCTGTATGTAAATTTCTCTAATGATCTTGCACGAATGCGAGTAGGTTCAAGTGGAAGGCTAAAAATGGAAAAACTTAAGAGTAATAGAACATGGTCGAAAGTAGTGAGAAAAAATATGGGGACTTATGGCCTCATTGAGGGTATGAACCTTGATAAAGTAGAATAGTAGACCGGGATTCGTACAGCCTACCCAAAATAGTTGGGAAAAGACCTTGATGATGATGATGATCTCGCACGAATGTGCTATACGTGCCGATAAAGTAAAAATACATACTCGTAATAGTACATACAAAATTAGAAAAATAAAGAAATAAACTAAAAGATTACTTGCTCCCGGTCAGTGTATACCATATATTCACTTCCTTTCATGGAACACTCTCTAGGAAGCAATCATTTTACTACAAAATATTTATACTGTTGCACCGCCTTTTTGTGTGTTATGGGAAAAGTTAAGTAGTTGGTGCTAGAAAAGAGAAAGGGTATTTTGGACTTCAAAACTACAACTTTTTTACTTGGAATTATTTGCTAGAAAAGTTTGTTTTGGGGTAAATGTTGCCGTAAAAAAATTGATTGGGAGTAGGTTGCAAAGAAAATTGGGTCGGGGGCGATTTTTGTAATTTTCTCTAAAAATAACATGATAGAAAGGGGATCAGTCCACATTGCCTCTCAAATCCAAGTAAATGGCTTTGAGCAATCAAACGGCATGATGATGAAGTTGCAAGTCACGGGATCGAAATGAATCTAATGCCGACCCAATAGTAATCCCGTACTCGTGAGGGGAGAAAAAGAATTCTTTTTATGTAAGAGTTTTGCGAATTCTCTCAGAACTGGAAGATCATTTTCAGATCTTCAAGCATATTTGAGGGTTCAATGTGACTATTGTCACTTCTGCCAACACACAAGACGAGACTTTATCACCGTGGAGCAGCTTTTTATAAAAAGGTGATGAGGATTGTCAGTAAGATGCCGGAGAAGCGAAATATACGAGATCACAAACGTAGATTGCTCGCCGCTAGATATGAATTGAGACGAAAACTTTATAAAGCCTTTTGTAAAGATCTCGATCTTCCTAGTGATATGAGAGACAAACACCGTTATAAGTTGTCCAAATTGCGAAGAAATCGTCCTATATATCTCTGTGTCTGCTGGTTGACCAGGATCTTCCCGAACCACTCGGTTATTTCCCATTTGTGCCTTACTTTTTTCCGTTCCGAATTCATCCATTTCTTTAGGGTTCCGAATTCATCCATTTCATTGGGGAAAAGGGAGAGGGCAGGCCTTACGCAAAGATTTTGTGAGCAGGCCGGCCTTCACTTCATATCGGAAGAAGGGGAAAAATTGCTTTCCCACCCAATCCCCTTTTGGCCTGGCCGGCAGCAGTTGTCTTACTACAAATCCCATTGGTTCTGACCATATCAAAAAACATACAATGCCATTGTCGGAACGGCTCCACTATGAATTTTTATGCTGAAAAACTATGTGTTTGAGAAAAGAAGCAACATGAAGGAATTGTCCTACTACAAATCTCATTGGTTCTGAACATATCCAAAAAACATACAATGCCATTATCGGAACGGCTCCACTGAAAAACTATGTGTTTGAGAAAAGAAGCAACATGAGAGCGGAAATCTTTGGCATCTTGTATCTCAACCTTTATCACATCTTGGCCAGAGATGGGATGAGAGACCGTTAGGGCCAAAGGAGTGAGTGGTGAGAAGATGTTCCCATAATTTGCTAACCACTCTAAAGGCTTATAAGGCGCCTTTAAGATTGCCTGCATAAACTCTAAATCTGCATATTGACTTATAAGCGCCTTTAAAATTAATCTGAAATATTGACTTATAAGCGCCTTTAAGATTAATTTACATAATGGCTTATAAGCGCCTTTAAGATTGCTCAAGGGTAAGTAGTCAGAAGCGCCTTTAAGATTAATTGGCAAGTAGTCATAAGCGCCTTTAATATTATTCTGCATGATGACTTATAAGCACCTTTAAGATTGCTCAAGGGTAAATAGTCACGGTGGTGTAGCGCCACAACATGACATTATGAGTTCGCTTCTATCGTGAATAAATGGCGAGGCACTTCATCTAAACTCTCTCTCTCTATCGTTTTGTCTTTGTAAAACGCCCTAAACTCCTTCTCTCTCTTTCTAGTAAAAAAAAAAAAAAAAAAAAAAAAAAAGTAGATCCGACACCTCTAAGAATTATACTTGGGCTTGAACTGTTAGCATCTAATATAACGCGGTATTTTTCTGGTTCAATTCGTACTGCTGAGCTACCTAAAAAATTAAATAAATAATTTCCTCTTAGCTCGCCCTCTCAGCCTTTAAGGAGGCTAGGTTTCATTTTGACCAGGGAAATCTATAAAACAACGAATTATTTGAAATTGAAAATTCGTCATTATCATAAATAAAGATAAATAAGGTTGGGGCGGCCAAGGGTTCGGGCTGGGCCTTGGGCTTGCAAGCCCGGCCACGAATTCGGTCCCAAGACGGGCAGGGCAAAAAAGAAGATAAGTTTTTATCGGGCAGCCTGAAATAATCCGAAAAGCCCAAACTTTCTTGCGCACCCTCTCCCCCATCCCGAATGCTCCTCTCTCTCTCTTTGAAGAAGTTAGAAAGGGAACCCCATGGCCACCAAACCCTGGATAAAATCTCTCTATATCTCTCATCCTCATTCTCACACCATATTTCTTCTCTCTCTACCTCTGTGAGAACCACCAAGAAAGCTCAACACTAATGGATTTACATCTTTTGTTAATCAATTCAAGAAATCCATAGATGAAAAATCACAGTACCAAATAAATAGGAATTCAAAATTCATCAAATGAAAATAAAAGAGCTTGTAAAGGGTGACTGTATCAAGCTTTGAAGGAAGCATCCATTGAACGATCGTATCTCTTCGGATTGACCCACGTGTCCTTATCGTATGATTGAAAGACATAATGGTTGTTGACCCACTTCAACGTGAAGCGCAGAAGTCCCTCTTCTTCTTCTTTCAATGGTTTTTCTCCTTCTCCCTTTTCTCTCTCTGCTTCTCTCTCATCATTTCTCTCTTCCAAATCTATTGAAAATTTTTTTCCATGTATTTCCTCTTTCACTCTCTCTCTTCTAACTATTTTCTCTTTCACTCTCTCTCTTCCAAATTTATGGGCTTTTCTTCCTCTCCTTCTGCCTTCACCTTTTCTCACTCTTCCACTTTTGGGGTTGCATTCTCCAATTTTCGTTTCTTGTTCATCTTATTGCCTTTTGTATTCTCAAATCTGTAAAATCAATGAATAAAATGGAAATGAAAACATTATTAGATGTTTTTTAAAGAAATAACAAGAGCTTATCAGTACAAAGAATGAAATAAAAAGATGAGAAACCTTACTGGTTTGTTTCTCTTTGGAATCAGAATACGTCATCTCTCTCTAACAAGGACTTCAAATGACTCCCTTCTCGCATAGAAGTATATAATGACGCAAATGACTCCCTTCTTTTATATAATGACGCAATATTTGGAGCGGATTATTCTAGTAACAAATCTCATCAAAGATTTATATCACGCGACTATTATGATTTAATATTTTTTTCAAGAAATATTCATCTAAAAAACAGAGATTTTCAATTTCAAGAAACCGGATTTTCAATTTTAAGAAACCTTAAAAAAAGGCTGTTTCAATGAAATGGATTAAGATTGAAATGGATTAAGATTTAAGACTCATGAACGATTTAGTTCACGCTAATATTATCATTTAATAGTTCTTCACGAAATATTTACCCAAAAAAACATTTCAAAAAACCTTAAAAATAAGGCGTTTCAATTTCTAGAATCCTTAAAAATAGGCTGTTTCAATGAAAGGGACACGGATCTCTAGGTAAAATAAGGCCAATAAGGTCACTTAAACGAATACGAATTGCCCATTAAGTGGTTTTAAATTCAAGAGGTACCCCTTGAAAGTTAGGACCAATTAATGAACTAATTCCTTTTTGAGAAATAAAATTAATAAACCAATTTGTAATACGGACCCCTTTTTGTGTCCAAATTTTGTGGATGTCATTTTTAACAACTACTGATTCCCAAACCAGAAAAAATAAAATAACAAAAATTGTATTTTATACAAATTTTTGGTCCGGACCCGAGAGGGCAGACAAAGGCTCCTCACCCCTCCCAAAAATAACTCCGGCATAACAAGCGGGACTCGACCAGGCCATAAAGTGCTGCTCGAACGCGGCCCACCGCAAGGCCCATCGTGGAAGCCCAAGGACCTGCACACCCCGAGAGGCATCCATAGGAACTAGGGGCACCCCTTGAAACTTGGCTACTTCATATTCTCATGCGGATTGCTCTCTATCGATTTCATATAGCGAGTCCCTATTTTTAAGGATTCTTGCAATGTTAAATGAAAATATTAGAAATTTTGAGAAAATTCATGATAGCGTTTTCCTTAATATTTAAATTTGAATACTAAAATTAATGCCTATTTTACATAGGAAAAAGTTTATATAAGGTTGCAACCTTAAAATGCAGAATTACAGATGCACCTAAAAAATCCATCGAAAAAAGTTTTTTAATGTCAAAAAACCCTTTAATTGATCATCTAGACAACAATATGTATGAATATGAAAAAAAAAAAAAGATTTTGAGTCCCATAAATAATACATCTTGCAAGACATTATCTAGAACGTCTATTTTCAAGATTTTCATATGTTTATAGATCTACTTGATTTTAACCATTTTTTGAGTTTAAAATTTTATAATTAGATATGAAAATAGATTTTGAGATAATCCTAACAAACTTTTACACCAAAATTACATGATATGATAAAATTTGGTGGTGCACCTTGATTGGATTGTTTAGCGTTGCAACCTTATACAAACCACACCCTTTTGCATATCAATATTTTTAGATAAATGAACGATTACCTTATGAATATAGGCATGTGATAAGTCCATTATTTGAAATTAAAAAAAATTATAAATTATATTTCAGTTCTCATATTTTCTTATTACTGGAAATTAATTTTTCTTTTAACTTCACATACAGTTTCTTTATTGAAAAAACAATTAGTGGCAGTTAGATAAACCCAAAACTACTTTAAATATATACTTTTGATTGGATATCTACGTCCGACTTCACAGGTACTCCTATTGAATAGAGGATAGGAATACCATTAATCAGATAATCGATAGGAATCCCATTAATCAGATAATCGCACAATTTTTTTGGTGGGTGTATATTTATATGCTATTAAAACAAACAATATCATCATATAAATTATTGATGAGATTTACTACTTGAATAATTCGTTCCAAGTATTGTTTCATATTATAAATCTTCTTGTTAGAGGTGGGAGATATTTGAAACCTTTGGTAAAGTGAGAAGACGTATCAAAGGTATCTCATCTTTCAAGTTGTTCTCTTTAATTTTTTTGTGTGATTTTTTTACTGTATTTTTGTTTGTTTCTTGTTGAAGAGGTGATGAATTTGAGATTCTCAAATTCATGTGAGTAGTCCCTGAGATGAATTTTTGTTTCAGAATTTCCTATTTTGTTTTAGAGGAGAGGAAGAATGGGTTCAGTTATGAATCTTTTTTTCTCCCCACCAAATTTTGAATCTGTATCATTCTGTCTTCATCATCTGACTTTCAAGTTAATATTCAAGAAGAAGAAGAAAAAAAAAAAGCTAGAGAATTATTTGTTTTAAGTATTAATTAAATGAATTGTTTTAATTTTCAATAGTAGGTGGTAAGAATAATGATCACCATGCAATACCAGGTACAAAGGCTAAATTATGAAAATCAAATCATCTTGTCTTTTTTATGGAACACACCTGAATGGGTTATTCATTATATTTATGGAAATAGATTTTGCATTCCATAGGAGAATATCTGACAATTTTCTTTCAAGAAATTGACTGCATACTAATATAGTAAATAAGTAACAAAATAGATCGGAGTAAAATTTGTCACTCCTTCTTGAGCGAGAACCTTTATTTTTCTTGATTTTTATGTTTTTATTTTATTCCAAGAAAATAACCCCTGTACATGAATTTTAAATTTTGTAGAAGGGCCATAAATATTACAGGATCATTAACTTTGAAGTTACTAGCTTCCGTAAGTTAATGGTTTTGGAAGAGAGAGAAAGGAGTGGAAAAGGAGTTGAAGAGAGAGAAATGGCAATAGGAGAGAAGGCAGTGCCAAAAAAAATTGAAGATTGAAGGGGAAGGAGGTCAATAATAAAAATTAGGTTATGGATAATTCAAATTCAATTTCAGAAAACAGAAGACAATTGCCTTCCTCAGAAGAAAGAAGAAGAAGAGTTACGATGAATCTCATCATCAAATGGAAACTACTAAGAAATTGGGTCTGAATTCAAATTCTTTGGGGGTGAAAAAATTGCTCCGAAATTACGGTGGGGATGTTCTGTGGCAAGAAACCATGTGACATGAATGCCGGACATCAGAAACAATATTCGTGAGCTTCTTTCTCTTTCTTTGTTAAGAAATATCTCTCTTTGAATAGAGACATATTCCTATGAAAACTCTCACTCTCTCTCATTATATTGACACAAAGCATTAATGGGAAAATACATAAAGGTCCATTTTTTTTCAAATCTTATGCGCAAGGCTGGTTTCCTTCGCATTTAATTCCTCTTTTTCTTATGTTTTTTACCCTTCATATGCTAAATTTCTTGATCAGGGATCTTTATTAGTTTATTATGTTTTACATTTAATTCTTCTTTTTATTATTTTTCTTATTTTTTTACCCTTCATATACTAAATTTCTTGATCAGAGATCTTTATTAGTTTATTGTGTTTTTCTCTTTTTTGTTTTGTGTGTGATTTCTATTAATTTTTCATGAGAGAGAGAATTACTATTTCCTAAAAAATATATTTTGATCTTTACATATAAAAATTTAAAATTTAAGCTTCAAAATAGTTAGTAGATCAAGCAGATCTATGAAAAATTGAAAATCTTGAAAAATGACGTCCTGTACAATATGTATTATTTTCAAAACTTGAAATCCAATTTTTTTCTCATGTTCATGCCTCTTGATATAAAGATCATGCCTCTTGATATCTGATCAATTGGAGGATATTTGGGCATCAAAACAATATCTTGTCGTGAATTTTTTGAGGTGGGTTTTAATTTGATTGTTAGGACTCTTTTCTCTTAAGATATCCTAATCTAGTCCTTTAGAAGTCATTGCGTTGTATATTTTGAGGACATTGTAGAGTAAGATGGACTGCATTGTCAGCTGAGAATCCTTAGATTTTAGAGAGAGAGAGAGAGGATATGAATTTGCTTTATTGAGGGATTGTGTACCTTTTTATGTTTCCATCTTCTTAAGTTATGAGATTCAGGGATGGAAACGTGACAGCATTGGATTTATCAGAAGAAGGTAGAGAGAGGGGGAGGTTATCAGAAGAAGGTATCTGAAAGAGGGCGAGGGAAGAATTTGAAGAGAGACAAAGGTGATTGAGTTTGGAAGAGAGAGAAATACGGGTGAAGGAGGACTCTATTTCTAATAATGCAAAGCTTAGAAGCGATTGCATTAGTCTGCAAGAAATAGAAGCAGCTCATCATGGCTACGAGAATTATCCAGGCGAAACTTCTGGGACTAATTGCACCCAAACTTCTGGCAACAGTGGCCTTCGACGTATTAGCGCCAAGAAACCACCCAAACGGCAACGTATTACCGCCAAGAAACCGGATGTCCATCAAAAGGAACCCCTGGATATATGTGAGTATCTCTCTCTCCCTAATTTGTTCTAATATTTTAGAAAAATTACGTTAAAATTATTCTTAAATTAAATATGTAATTACAAACTGATAAAATTTTATGGAAATATGACACATAGGTCTATTTAAGTTTTTTTTTTTTCATTGGAAATATCATATTTTTTTTATTTTTATAACTTCAAAATGTAGGCACTAGATTTAGACTCTTAGATCACTCTAAACTTTTTGTTTTTTTTTGTTTTTCTTTTTTGTGGAGAATATGGTCTGATGGACCAAAATTTATATAAAGAAAGTAACATAAGGTGGTACCTCATGAAATTTTCTAAAATTTTCTAAAATTTTAGGAGGGATGAGCGATATGAAAATAGGGAAAAAAAACGGTCGCGCAGCCTTTCTGGAAAAGGCACGTAGTGTAAATATCTTATCTTACTGCTTCTACTTCTGCGTAATATTTTCATAAGATTGTATCAGTCCGTAATCACCACTTTTAAAACGTAATTTTTCCTCTTTGATATGGGGAACGGTTTGTCTTATAATATGTATGCCCTACTTTCAATTAATTTGAAGTATTAGGCATTTTCTATATGGAAACAAAAAACAATCCATGAAAACATGAATTACATGAAGTATTAGGCATTCTCTATGTAGAAACGAAAAGCAATCCACGAAAACAAGATAGAACAAACAAACACATGAAGTATTAGGCATTCTCTATGTAGAAACGAAAAGTAATCCACGAAACCAAGATAGAACAAACAAACAGAAAATAGACAACCAACCACAACCTAAAGAGGTTTGACAATAGAGAAACAACCAACCACAACCTAGAGAGACCTTTGGCAATAGAGAAACAACCAACCATAACCCAGAGAGCTTTCGCAATGGAGTAAGGCAACCACAACCTAGAGAGCTTTGGCAATAGAGAAACAACCAACCACAACCTAGAGAGAGCTTTGACCATAGAGAAACAACCAACCACAACCCAAAGAGCTTTGACAATGGAGATTATAACCCAATGGAGAATAGGGTTATAATTGTTCTCTTTCTCATGCCTCTCTGTTCCCTTCTTTAACCCTAAAAAGGAACCCATCTCTACAATAAATATACAATAAATATATATAGAGTGCCGTACAAATTATCATACCCATGCACGGATAAATACCCAATAACCATGTATGTGTATATATATAGTGTTTTTCCCTTAACCCTAAAAAGGAACTCCATCTCTACAATATTCTACAATATATATATTCTATAATATATAGTGTCCCATACAAATTATTAAAATACCTATGTATGGATAAATATGCATCTATTCAGATAGATGATATAAATTACTGAAACACCCTTGTAGCGGATATATATCCGTCTTATACAAATTATCAAAATAACGATTTATGGATAATAGACATGTAGAGCTATATGTATATATGGTATAAATTATCAAAATACCCTTGTAATCAAAATAACGATTTATGGATAATACGCATTTAGAGCTATATGTATAGATGGTATAAATTATCAAAATACCCTTGTACGGATATATATTAAGTCCCAGGTACATCGAATCCAAAATACTACAGATAACCCATGTACGGATCTGTTCCGGATATAGTATAAATTACCAAAA